TTACCCTCCAAAAATGCCCCAACTTGACTGTCTTTGATCAAAATTTGACATTTCTGAACACCGGTAATCAAATTGATACAATATAGTATGGATTATTAACCGTCGTAAATCTGTAGACTATGTTAACCTAGCGTAAAACTATAACAATGACTTGTCAACAACCGCTAAAGATGGCAAATACATAACTCTATATTCAGTTTACTTTTTAAAAAAATCATGCTGTTATATTTCGCCAAAATTAATTCCAACAGAATGTACGTCACGTTGATTAATTTATTTCTGCATTGCGTTACCAGAATACCAAAGAATTTACATGGTACAATATAACATTCTGATTTGTTAATACCAGACTTGACAATCAAGCTAACTGACATTGTTGCAGGTGAAATAGTGTTAGAAAACATCCAGGCAGAAATTGCATTTGCATACCATCAAACACATGCGATATTTTGGTGTTATGTAATCAATATTAGTTTTTGCGACCATTTTTGTTTCTTAATAGCAAAAGTGTTGTAGAACTAACTTAGCCATTTTATTTCCCCCAAAGCGATGTAATATATCCTCAATTTGGCAAATGGTTAACTAAAATTGGCATTTGCATACTTTTTCAATGGGAGTCCTCAGCTGATCACCCACTCCCTAAAACACATAATTTTTGGATCTGAGTACCTTGGGCACTAAGTTGAAAAAGTAAGGGCGTAATGACCACAGAGCTTGTTAGAGATTTTTCAGCATTAAGAATTTTTTTTTATGAAAACTTGTTTAGACAACATACAGGTTGCAGGTTTTCCGCAATTCAAACTAAATTCTATAACAGCTTATATGAACATACATCTAAAATACAGATAAAGCACTAACATGTGTTTGTGAATACCTTTAAATACACTTTGAATTAGTCAAAATATAGCGTGCAAGTTAAAAAGATGCATATATTTAGCACTTTGAAAAGTATGCAGTCCAAAATGTTACGTTTTGCCTCTGGTTTTTACCAAAATACTGCAAAAATGGAATATTTTGTATATATAAGTATGGTATACATGCATATAGTGTAGCTACCTTAAAACCAAGATTAACCATCAAAATAACGTTTGGGTTTGTAGTCAGTTACTCACCTTCATTCGCTGATAACTTGTTAGCAAATTCAAAGATTCCAGTAAAGTTCAATTGTGTATGGTTAGCCTGCTGAAGGTGCATCACCATGGTTTCTGGAAATAGCTTCTGTATACATGTAAATCTACAGCCAATAAAAGGACACTTTTGTCTAGTTAGCTCAACAGGACAACTGGGCAAAGTTTTTTGAGTCTGAACTTGCTTCTCAGCCACAGTTTGTACAGAAAGCTTGGACGATAATTCTGTCACCAAACTTGATTCATTGAATGAACAAAGTACTTTTTCTGATGACGGAGGGTTATTTTTAACTTTGACAGACCGTTTCTTCAATGATCCAGGCACACATATCTCCAACTCAGCATTCTGAATAAAAGACTTGTTGGTTTCAATAAGTGTGTTATTGGAATGTTGACTGGATGACTCCATATTGCTCTCACTGTGTACTAAACGAGTTTTAGTTTGCGTTACTAGTGAAAGTTGGTTGGCTGACTTTGATGTGTTATCGACCTCCATTAAATTGTGAACAGGAGATTTCGTCACCATGTTCTTGTGTAGAGGAAAACTGTGCGTTTGTTCAATTGATGATGTTTGTTTCATTGATGTTGGTACTCCCATACATTGCACAGAATGTTGCTTTGATGTGTTACCAACTTCTACCACCAAATCATGACTGGGCATCATTGTCATCTTGCGGTTATGTAGTGAACAACTGGGAGTATTTTGTTTCAATGTTTCAATTGGTGTGACTGGCTTCATTTTGCTTTTTATAGGATCATCCCACTGCTTCTTAGATGTGCCAGAAACCTCTTCAATGAAAATGATACTCTCATCACAATCATCATCTGACAAGCAGATAACTAGAAGGAAAAAAAACAGTATTGAAAAAAGAGGGTTAAACACATAGTTGTTTACAGAAATAATCAATGTGTAATGGCAGTATTTGATTATATACAAATACTCAGGTTCTACACATAACTCACCACAAGATAATTTACAGTTTTCAAAAGTTCATTCCTGACAAAGAAAAAATAATCCTTTATTTGTGTAAAAGGTAGTACATACGTGGATGTAAGTTACAATGATGAGGAAAATGAAATAAAACAAGTTATGTCGTGTCACTGACATGAAATGGACAAAAGTGAAATAAGTCAACACATAAAGCTGAAATGAGTCGGCCATTTTGAATCGGAACTTGAAACAACCATACGGTAATATATGCAACATTCTGCTCCACAAATGCATTATAATGCCAAAAAAAGCAACAGCTTATGTTGCCCTCAAGTCGGGAAATTGAAAAATTGGGTCGGTCGGTCGGATTTTATTTTTTTGTAAACTCATAAAAACTAAGGGTATCGTAAATAGCCGAGGTATATGGGAAAAAAAACGCTAACCAATATTTCATATTTTTCGGTCGGTCGCTGAGGGCAACAAAACAATTTTTTTTTTGCCTAATGATTGTTTTTTAAATACCCCTTTTTAATTTTCTAGATATTTCATCAGTATATGTAGTTAATCTTGATTTTCCAGCAAAATAATTAAAAGTTTAGAACATGATAGCATAATGACAACCATACATATGAATATTTTCAGTTGTGTTGCCATGTTGCACATTTGTTTACCAATGCTCAATTTTTCATATATTTTATACAATCATTCAATGAGAGTAGCTTATACCAGTAAACCGAAAAATGGGGACAAAAAAACTGTCAAAATAATTATTTTCATTTATTTTACCTTTTTGTCAATTTGTTTATTTTTGGTGTCTTTTCAACATTCTAATTTTTATATACCGGTATTTATAATATACATTAGTTATACGCAGACTCAGAATTTGAAATCATTTTCTTAAATTTTTGGCTATGTTGTCATATTTTACCCAAAATTCCTTGCTTGTATATCAAAATGGTGGAAAACATTTCCTAATTAAAAAGTTAAATGCGTATAGAATGAAAAGTGAAGAACTGTAAAGCTGTTTCATGCTGTTACTGTAGCCTAGTCATTATGTTCAATGTATGTATCAAGTCAGAACAATATCTGTGCATGCATAACATAGATTTGGGACTGAAATAGCATAAAAGGTTGATTTTGATGTAATTTTAACATTAAAATAGCCGCCATATGACAATTGAATCATGAAAAGAATAAATACGCCTATCACTGACATGATGTATCTAAAGAGTTTAAACATGATCAGTGAAGCTATTTCAGAGATATGGCTCTGTAACAGAATAAATTAAAACAAAATGACTGCCAGTAAATAAAATAATAAAAAGTGCTAAAAAACAAAGTCATGCAGGTTTGATTTGATTTCATCACATCTGTACAGAAATTATAAATTTTCTACTTTTTATAGAGAAAAGAGAAAATATTTCATCAGTAATGTAATGTAACTGATATAAAAAAAAAAAAGCAATGCAGCTTTAATCAAAGTGTGTTTCAAAACATGGAATGTAGGTACTGTAGAATACTTTATTTTCGCTGGAATTAATTTTCGCTGAAAAGACTTTTTGGGCATTTTTGTATGGAATTTATTTTCACTGATTTTTGACGAGTTTAATGTGAAATATAGGAAAAAAAGTATATTTGCTGGATTTTATTTTCACGGAATCATCCCTTCAGCGAAAATAGCGAAAATAAATTCCAAGCGAAAATAAAGTATTTTACAGTAAGTCCTCTAATCTTACATGGAAAGTTTATCAATGACATGTGGATAGTTACTCACACATAGATGCATAAATACATGAAAGCACAAAATCATGATTGTGGCCCTAAACATCAAATAATAACATGATATAACATGCAGCCTCTTGGCTGAAATAGCTTTGCTGTTAGCAATGCACATCTCCATTAAAGAACTGAAGATATCATTAGAAAATGAACAAATCTGAGACAGGTCTACCTGAGGTATCTATATGTATAGTATCAAATTCAATTGGACTTGCGTTTTTTAACAAGACGTCGAAAATATCACTTTTTACCAAAAATGACAATATTCATCAAAATTAGAGAATTGAAGATATCATCACGAACTAAACAAAAAGAGAGGTCTGTCCAAGGTACATATACACCAAGTATCAAAGCAATAAGAATTGTAATTTTCAAGAAGAAGTCGAAAACATAGAAAGTTGACACGAGCGACATGCAATCACTCATATGATAAGCTCCATTCAACAAAGTCGACAGATAATAACTTACCATCATCATCCACAGTCTGAACTTCCATTCTAGGAATACTGACTGGTGACTCACTCCTACGAAGAGAATAAACTCATAAGCAAAGCCAAACAGCTGTGAAGACAGCATACAGTTTGATTCTTGTACGATTGATACTTCCATTGAAATACCTATAATTAACTCAAATGTTGATATATAACAATTTCAGCCAACGCAACATATTTTCGTGCAGAAAAATAGGGATCAATTTATTATTTTCCATGGAAAACAAGGTTATAAATACTTTCATCGTGCGCATGACAGTTCCTTGACAAATCTGCTAATGCCAGGAAGGTCAAAAGGCAATAAATATAAATATAAATAAAAACATGGTCAATGTTCTTGTTTCAAAGATTTTATTTGTTTTTTTAGCACTGACTGGTGATAATTTGAGACTATATTTTTCACATATAATTCATGTTTTTTTAAACATATTTATACATTTCTTGTGTATTTCTATTACTGTTTTATACTTGTTTGTGTCATGTTTAGTACTGGGTAACTGACAAAGACATTGTTTTTAGCTACTACTGTAAAATCTGTATTAAAAGCCGCGGCTTCTATTAAAATGGTACAATGCAACAGAGGAGATGCGGCTTCTATTAATGCATCTACACATATGCGACCTGGTGAATTTTTGGGTCTCAATTGTTCAAAAAGAATGGGTGCGGCTTCTATTGGGGATGCGGCTTCTAATACAGATTTTACGGTACTACTAAGAACTGATTTATTCAACACCAAACAAGTATAAGTAAACAAGCTTACATAATTTGCATAATGAGAACTTCCTGTGTGTACAGGGTCAATTGCCATATCTTAATAATTAACATGCTTTGTTGATTACATATGACAGTTTGAGCATGGAGCTAAAAAAATCTTTTTTTAGCTCCATGGTTTGAGCTAGCCCATGTAATTTCCAATGTGAGCAAGACTGTGGAACTAAAGTAATTTATAACCATAATTTTCTCCAAAAGAATAAGTTATTGAACTTCTTTTGGATCCGCAGTCCATGATAGAACAGTAGATCATTTTTAAAATTTGCGAAGGCATCCTCTACATGGAACCACCTGTGAAAGGATTAATTATTCACTTTGTTTTAATTTTGCTTATTTCGCTGACTGGAAAATGCCCTAAATTAAAACCCAGTGAATATGTAAAATTTAGCATAGAACACATATCTAAATGATAAAACCGTGAATTTAAATCCCACTGAATATGCCTGAAATGATAAATCAGCGAAATTTAAGCCAAGTGAAAATTAGTCATTTTACAGTAATCCCTATTTTTCCTGCACAAAAATTGCTTTATATACACATTTGTGTAAATTATTTCAATCGTATGTAAATCATTCAAGAATCAAACCATACGCCGGCTGTCTTCACACTCATGGTAATAATTCAATATATATAACTTGTTATTTCGTGTAATTGGCCTTCATTAGAATTTATGAAGAACCATTAGCTGATAGACCTTGTTTACTCGTGCGAATCACGTGGTTCATCTGGTCATTGGTACCATGGAGCTCTCTTTTTACCTCCATGTTGGTACGTACATGGTGGGATGATGTCCGAAAAAAACGTCCAAGTCAGTGTTTAAAAAAATTTAAATATACAAACACACTTCCCAAAGAACTGTAATACATCATACGTTCTTTCCACTGTAGTAGTGGCGTTAATAGGTGCTGTGACGTCTCTGGTCTGTAGTGTGCAATATTTCGACGGTTTCATCACACATACGTTTTCAAAAATTACAGCGCTGCAACACTGCAGGTTACTGAAACGACATAATATTACACATTCTGACACAAATGACATTTTCTTGTTAAGCAAACTTACGAACAATATACGGCCTGTAGTACAACACTTCTAATTCACAGCACGCAAATGCCAGAGAGGAACAGCGACGTCGAAAATGACCTTGTTATGATTTCTGAATTTGGACGTTAGATAAAACCGGAAATTATATTTTTAGAACAGCGCTCTCTAGTGACAAAAAGTGATAAACAAAACAAAAGTTTTCAATATTCCGACGATGGCGCTACAAGACAGGGCAGTGGTTTGGTGCGCTGTTGTTATCATCCAGCTCTATGAGAGCAGTATATTTAGCTTCACTGACGACTTTGTTGAACGAAGTGTTTGTCGGTCGTCCGCGTCAACTTTTTTGAGTTCTTGAAAACTACAAGCCCGATTGCTTTGATACTTGGTGTATATGTGCCTTGGCTAGACCTCGTTTAGATTTGTTGATTTCATGATATCTTCAATTCTCTAATTTTGATGAATATTTTTTAATTTTTGGTAAAAAGTGATATTTTCGACTTCTTGTTGAAAACCGCAAGTCATATTGTTTTGATATTATATATATTATATATAGATGTGGGAGTCGATTATTCCAAAACAAAAGTGCTCAATACAAAGTATAAATACGGTAATAGAGGAATTAATACACAACTACATGAATATTGAAACTCGACAGCACTGTTTCGTAAGGTACAAGTACCTCACTCATGAGCTTTATGTTTAATAATTCACTGCACCAAAGAGCATACATTATAAGCTTCGCAAATTAACGTATTAATTAAAATTAAATAGAAAGTTTAATTGTTACATATTAGAGCTTTTAATCTGTGTCGGCATGATGACACGAGTTCATTTCTTTTGTTTAGTGTGGAGTGGAGGGGTCTAAAAATTATGATAACTTTTTCCTTCAAACAAAAAATGGCATCGTTTGCCATTCTATTTTATTATCAATATCTTTTTCTTTGAGTGACCAGACGTGTTTACTTAGTTCTTTTGCATTTGAGGACCGTCCCTCAACACCAGTGTTGAGGGACGGTGATCCGACGTACGTTTCGCTGGTGTGTATGTCTAAACACTTCCCGTCTAGTGGACCTGTTTTTTCTGGCAATTGCATAACTTGTTTGGCTTTCGTTTCGTCAGTGGCAGTGTTACTTTCGGTCGCCAGTTGGTGTTTGTTTTTATTGTTGATGGTATCTTTGATGTTGTTTACACAGCTATAGCTGACTTTGATTGTATTTCTGTTAAATATTTTCTTGAGATTGTTCCAGGTAGGAAAGGGTTGAACCTCAGACTAGTAATACTTGTGTTACTATTGTAAACAGTGCTGTCGAGTTTGTATAGTAATACTTGTATTACTAGTCTGAGGTTCAACCTTAGTGGTCTGAGGTTAAACCAAAAGACGTTGCTACGCGGCCGGTTTTTTTACTCTTCTCCGTGGGGGGGGGGGGGGGGCAAACTTTAATTGGTGTTTGTAGCCGCTTTCGCGTAGAGCTATTTGGTAGGGTGGTGCCGCGATGTCAAACATCTTCTTATCTGACGATATTGAAGAAAGACGCTTGTTAATCCCGGCCGAGATATTCTTTGTAATGGCGGGTGGGTGATTACTCCCCTTGTGTACATATACCAAGTTGGCATTAGGCTTTATGAAGGGACTGCACGAACTTTCAATGAGGTTTAGCGTGACATCAACGAAGTTTACGATTTTCTTGTTTGCTTCGATCGTGATCTTTAGACCGCTGTTTTTAAACACGCGACAGATAGCTTTGTTCAGTCTCTTTGGTTCTATTTTTATAGAAGAACCTTCCCAAATAAAAGAAATTCTAATATATATATATAAAATAAGAGTTAGTCACTAAACCATGTACTTTCACATTCAAGCAAGAGAAGAGACATGTTGGTGAACTAGCCTTGCACTGTGTTTTATTGTTTGCAGTCTTTAAAATACCATTTGTTTTCACAAGTAAAAAAACAAAAAAAAACAAAGAACTGCAGACATCACAACTTTATATTTTTGAGTGGGCCAGCCAAGTTTCCACCCCCGGGGGGGGGTACTTCCACATTAATTGGGCAAGGGTGTGTAGCCCACCTCTCGTAAACCATACTCACTTCTAAACCATTTTTTCTATTTATATACCCACTTCTAAACACAAGTATTTTCAGTGAAAAAAAACACCTAGCTCACAACTTTCGCGACCAGTGAGCGCATTCGGGCGACGCATTTTATTTAGCCTTTTCCGGTATCTGGCTTTGAATATAAGGGCCTGTGAAAAAGTAAATAAATGCTACACACTTCCAAACCAAAACATTGATAAATGAACACCCACTTCTAAACAAAAAAAAACGTGAAATGACACACCAGTTGGGCGGCACATACCCGTATTGCACTTCTATGGAAGTAGCCCCCAGGGGTTTCCACATACAAAAATACACATATAATTTCTATTTAATTCATTTTATTTTATAATATTTTCACTGAATTCTTTAAAATGAATTTACCATATACAATCTAATTTGTTGGACACTATTTCATCCTAATATTTTATAATCCATATCCTTATATTTGAATCTGTTTCAAGACATTTGCAAAATTTATTTTAGAAGCATAACAATACAACGACTAGATTTGGTGTCACGGTTTGCTCCCAATTCATATTGGGATATTGCCAGCAATAATTAATAAAGCTTGTTCAGAATACCATTTATTCCCCATATCATATTCAGTGGCTAGTTCTCAGGATCTACAACAGTAAATAAATAAACAGAAATCATTTTGATGCCATGTTTTTAGAAGACACCGCCATATCAAATTTTGATTTGGACCATACTATTTGGAATGGTTTAGGCTTACTTAGGTATGTTTCTGAATTCCAAAACATTAAAAGCACTACCGTTTACTGAACGGAAAATGTCAAGTTGTTTCCACGGAAACTTTGTAAAGTATGACTTTCTAGGATGACCAAAATAACCAGTACTACAGAGTACTCCATTTTTTTTTATTCAGACGTTCAAATAGCCACAGGGAATAATTTAAATGTGGGGCGTTTTTCGACCAACGAATTAACCAACACAAAATACTATTACATGTATATACAATTCCCGACTTTCTAGTTATTGGGTTTCGCCAGAGCACCACTAGAGGGCGGAACACAGTACCCGGATGACGGTGAATTAATACAACATTGTATGCACCCGATTAGCATCGTGTGGGAAGTGTATTATTTCCAGATTCGGACTTACAGGCATATAAAATGGTTATCTGGTATTGCAATACTCCTGCTATTCTTGCAGTACAATCAAGAAAAAAAATCTAGCGAAATATCACCGAATCTCTGACGTTACTTTTCACGACTTTCCAGGAAACAACTGTTCATCATTGAAACTTGCTTGGCGCATTCTTTGTTCATTTAGTATGGCACACTTATTTTCAGGAGACATACGAACAATGATGATAACTAAACCCACGAATGGCCATGTTTATATTTGTATGTGCAATGGCAGTGACGATAGCCGCAAACGCGAATCTGAAGATATCAGCGATGGAATCGCAAAACACAAATTTATCATGATTAGCGAATGGGAGAAAAATGAAATTCGTAAACGTAGAGACAGTCAGTTGATCCCAGACTGGACATTTTCAAAAGTTACTTGAGAAATTGCAACACGCAGACGAAGAGAAATCGAGAACTTGATTGAAATTCTATAACTATGAACACCAAAATTGAAGACAAGAATTTAATGTGGCGCGAACTGAGCAGCAAACTTAAACGCTACCAGACTACGATTACCAAATATTATCTTCTATATATCATATTTATCAGTCCGAGCAGCGTTTATTTATTTATAAACTACTAAACGCTACCAGAGTAGTTAAGGATGGACTATAGGTACGACCGTGAGGGCACTGTTCATAATGGGATGCGATGACGTCATACGGGAGTGGGATGACGTCACAATGGGAGACCGCGCATAGATTAGCACAAAAGATGACGTCACAATAGGAATACGTGCATACATTAGCATAAATGAGTGACCATGGCCGTAAAGGAATTAATTTGCAAGAGGAGGACATCACAATGAGATATCCTCGGGGGGCGGAGCTACGTCACATACGTTCTACGTTGCTAAGACGCGCACCACTGTACCACGTATTTCTATGGGCTTTGTGCGCGCTGTTGTGGAACGCCGGTGGAACCGGTGAAAACTCGAGAAAACAACACAAACTCAACTTTGAAGTAATCCTGAACAACCAAATTCATATATGTTACACACGTAGGGCTAATCTTGTTACGCTGTTCAAGGGACTCTCAACAACCACCGCAAAGTACCGTTTTCTGCGAGTTTTTGGTCTTTGTTTTCACCGCGAGGGTTGCCAGGTGGTAAAAAATGCCCGGATGTCCGCCCCCCCGAGGATTGTGATTACATAAAATAAATTTGAATACCAGGTCGTGCCGAGGTCATCGTGAATACATTTGCATAAATTACCATCATTTTTTTTAATTATTTTTAAATTATTTTGTAATTTGATTTTTTAATTATTTTTTAATTGGACGAGCATGGGCGTCACGAAGGATTTTTCAGAATGAATCGTAGAGGGCGCTCACACACACACGCTAATAAGTACACGGCATTTTGGACGGAGTTTATTGCACAAAAGAAGTAAACAAGAATGAAATATTGACATGGAGTATACATTTATGGTGTGCTTGAGCCACGAAACAAACATACGATGTGAGTAAAAAAAATAGTTGCGTAGCATATTAAAATGTTTTGCGTGATTCAATATTTCCTTGTTAACACCTCGAAAAATACGTACATAATGTGTAAATGTGTGGCGTGGTTCAATTTATTTTTAACGCTTCGAAAAATACGAGTACATAAACGAGAAATGAGAAAAGTCAATAATAATAAACAGTGAACAATAAAAAATAATTCATTCTATATATATATATGTTGTTAATTTTTTATATTTTCTTACTTCATACCAATGAGTCAAGCAATCTGTACACTTTTTTTTTATTCCATCACTCTAATCTGTCGTAGAAGAAAAAAAAGAGAGAGAGAGAATAATATTGAAAACCG